GTCAAACGGGGATCGTGCCCATACACGCTTGTCGTTGAAAGTAGGTATTTTTGGATTCCCAGATCCCAATCTACTTCAAGCGCCTTCCTACTTCAAGAATCGACATGCTTTTGCTGCGTTTTGTTATTCTCCGGGAGGACCTGGACCCAATCTACTGTAGCCGCCTTCCTACTTCATGTTTCTACCTACTTCTTCCGACCGACGTGTAGTGAGCGGCGAACGAGGGGGGGCAATGAGAAGGAGAAGGCCTTCCCAGAAGACGGCGGGACTTCTCAGAAGCCCTCGCGCTTTGTGCGAAGTTTGCTGTGTCTTCGGGGAAGGCATAGAAAACTTCTCAGAATGCCGAGGGGCTTCCGAACCTTCTGAGGAGGTTTTTTGTTCTTGCTTCCCCCCTCTCGCTGGCCGCCGACATGGGGAGCTCAGGGCGTCTCCCTGCGCGCTTGCTACGCAGCCCATGTTCCACACTGCCGAGACTTGCATCCTTCCCGCGGCGCGTCGTCGTCCTCCTCCTCCTCCTCCGCCCCCTCCGCCCCCTCCCCCTCCTCCTCTTCCTCCTCCTCCTCCTCCTCCTCCTCCTCCTCCTCCTCCTCCCCCTCCTCCTCCTTCTCCTCCGCCTCCTCCTCCTCCTCTTCCTCGAGGGCCAGGGCCGCGCTACAGTTGAGGCCGCGGCGCTAGCGATCGCTCAGCGCGGGAGGGCCCAGGTCGGCCTGCGACAGGGCAGAGGGCCACCGAGGAGGCGAGTGAAGGCGAGGCGACAGCCGCGGAGAGTGGACCCAGACGTGATCGCGTCGTTAAAACATCAGGACCGGAGATCTGTTGTTGCCATTTTCGGACTCGGGGGGCCCTCGCCGGGCCTCGGGATTGTCAACGAAACGACTCAGGATGAAAAACCGGTCCCGGGGAACGGGTCGGGACTTCCAGGGACTCCGTCCTGGAACGGCCCGCGCTGCAGACATTCCGCGCTGCAGAGGCAAGCTGCAGGGGCGCTCGCAGTGGACCGGCCCGCACGACACGCAGCTGCGTATAGTCATAGGTTGGGCCCCTCGCCAGGCTAAGGCTTCACGCGTGGGTCGTAGGCGCGATTCCCGCAGTTGCCATATGCAGCACGCGGCTCGAACGCACAACGTTTCGTCCAGTTGGCCACGCGATTGCGAAGACGGTAGAGGAAAACAATTATTGAACACTCCCCGTCCCCCCCAAACTCAATGTTGGCACGCGCGGGGAAGACTGCGGTCGAAGTGCATCTCATCAGACCCACTGCCAACTTTGAACATCGGGGGGAGGGGGAGGCGTTGACAGATGAATGTGGCATGAGTGTTCGCTAATTTGTTCCGAGGCCTGTACCAACGTAGAGGGCAAACGGAACCTGGGGCCGACGACAGCGAATCGCAATAACGGAAGCGCGGTGGGCCCGGGCTTGGCGACGGTGGGTGACATGTCGAGTGCGAGCCAGACCCGGGACCAGCGACGGCGAAGCGCAGCAGCGAAACCAGGGCGGGTCTCAGGAACGGCGGCGGTGAAGCGCATCAAAGAAGGCATGCGGGACAAGGCTGGCGGGGCCCGGGACCAGCGACGGCGAATTGCACCACGGAGCACAAAGCCGTTCGGAAGCAAGAAACAACCCTCGGGCGTTGGAGAATGCAAGAGTCATGAGTTGAAGAGAAATGATGAGTCGAAGTAGAGGTATCGGCCGAAGTTTCAACAGTGTAGAGGCGAGCCCAGAAGAGTTCTTAATCGTCAGAACACCATTATGGTGTGAAGGCCACTTGGGGGGATGGGTGCAGTGTTCGGTTAGCGATTGGCGTCGAAGTCGTTCTTCGATCAATCTATCTAATGAGGTCGATGTGCATATGTGTTTCGGTCTTTCAGTTATCGGTAACACTCGATATCGATCGATCCCGCTATCAAGACGATAAGCCGATCTCGCTTTGCTTGATTGTGAATGCGGACGTATCACGATGGATCCCACCATGCACATGTCTAACTATGTCGCTACCGATTTCTATGTACCACGATCTATGTACCTATCTAGGGACCGGACAGCCACTGGACAACCGCGGGACGTCTGCAGGACAGCCACGGGACAGCCATGGAGCAATCGCTGGACAGCCACGGGCCAGCTACGGGACAACCAGGGGCCAACAGCGGGACAACCGCGGGACAACCACGGGACATCGGCGGGACAACCACGGGACAGCCACGGGACAGTCTCGGGACGGCCCCGGGACAGCCCCGGGCCTGCCCCGGACGTCCGCGGCTTCTCTTGGCGCGACGTGGGGCCCGGTTGGTGCAGGAGCTCGCCAAGTCTCACCTCGCACGCACGGCGCGGGCCGAAACCGAAACCGAATCCTCGGTAGGGCGACTCCGTTCCGTTACACATTGCTCATTTCTGATTATTCGAGGGTTCTTTGATTTTTTGGGGGGCCAAGATTCGTTCATTTCTAATTCTTCCATCCTGGGCACTTTGGGGGCCTGGAACAAGCAGAAACGAGCACGAGTAGAAATGAGCACGATTAGAAATGAACGACGTGTACGCCTTCGTCCCCTAATCTTCAACACATTGAAATCAGTCGAGGCATGCACATATACGATAACACACATGCAGCGTGCGTTTAGTCAGAGTCAGTCGCCGAAGGACTAGTAGGGTGCTGGTGAATGTGTAAGTGATAGTTTTAGTTAGTTTGAACGCTGAAACAAAAGCAGGGATACTCTTCAGCAACAAGTATACGCACCTGCACACGGAAACGTTGAAGCTGAATTGGATGGGTTTCATATCAGAGTGAGGGGGCCGAACGGCCTTGCAAAGTCCCTAGGTGCGTGGCTGAGTGAGGCTCCGCGCTCCAGATTCTCGACCTCTTATGGTGTTGTCGCCTGGCGCTGCGGTTTGCTCGGACCCCCCACCCCCCCCCGCGACGTGCGCCAGAGACCCACGGCCGCAAGCCACCAGCGACCCACTCCCGCAGCACACCCATATCGTATCTCGATCCAAAAACAAGACGACTGCGGCGGGCTGGTGTCGTGGGAAGTCGGCGCCCGCGGCGGGCTTCCTCACATTGACTTTCCAGCCAGACCCACCCACCCGCATCGTTCCGAAGAGTCGGCGCCTGCGGCGGTCTGATTGCTTCGGGTAACTTTGCCAGCGGCGGGTTGCGTCGCATTGGCCCTCGAGGCCGGTGGCCCCCGCAGGGCAGCCCGGGCGCAATTTTCGCGCTTACCCACAATAATTGCGGTCTTTGGGCGCTGGTGCAAGCAGACGCGGAAACAGAAGGAGATGTTGACGCACAAGTGGTACAACAAGTGCACGCGTGAGGATGGGTAGGAGAACCACTGGCAGCTGGCAGTTGCAGCAGCAGCTGTAGCAGCCGTAGCTGTACAGCTGGCTGCGCAACAAAAAGGGTGAACGTAGGACCGAACAGCAGTTGCCGTGATTGCAGCAGGACCCGAGACAGCCGACTCGCGGGCGCGGCGCCAGTGGCCGATTGTACGTATGCGCTCGTGTTGCCCCCATCGGTCGCCTCAGCGGCGCCGAGAGCAGCACAGAGATGCCCCCCCCCCTCCGCGCGCGGAGCGGAAGGATTGAGGAGGAGGGGGCTGTGGGTCTCTCGGGTCTCAGGGCTCCGGTGGAGGCTCCGGGGCTTTGGGGAAGCCCCGGGTGCAGGAGCAGGAGGAGGCCGACGCGGAGGAGGAAGAGAGGCCGCTGCTTCCCCTCATCGCTCTGCTCCTCCTCGTCCCTCACCGTCCGCCCCGTGGCTCCTCCGAAGCTGCCGGCCGGTGGCGCCAACGGGGCGGCGCGCCAGCGGCACGAAGGCGGACGCTTCAGATGGTGGGGTTGCGCGCGGGTGCCTGCCTCTGCGCGGCTCCTGGCGGGAGCGCCAAGCCGGATGTTTCCTCTTTTCTGTAGTTGTTTCCCTTGCAAGCGTCCATTCCCTCCCCTCCTCCTCCTCCTCCTCCTCCTCCTCCTCCTCCTTCGCCTGCTCCTCCTCCTCGTCCACTCCTTTTTCTTGTAGATGCCTACCCCCTGTCGCACCCCGAAACGTATCGGTAGGGCGGGCCGAGCGTTTCGCCTGAGATTTGCCCACCACTTATGACCTTTACGCTTGAAAGATGCAGGTCGCTTTCAAACTGAGGCTCTTGGTGTAGCGCCGCGCACATTCGTTTTAACTTTTTGCCGGAGCTTTACGGAGTGAGGGCTGGTCGTTTTCAACATGTGGTTATCGCCCTAGCGCCGCGCATATCCGTTTCAAACATTGCAGGCGTTTCACGTGTGGAGGCGGGACGATTTCAAATGAAATTCTCGCCTTAGCGCCGCGCACATCCTTATTCTATGTGCAAGAACTTCACGGATGGAGGGTGGCTGGTTCTCAAAATGTGGTTATCGCTTTTGCGCCGCGCACACACATCCTAATCAATGTAAGAGCTTCACGGATGCAGAGCGATTATGTTCACAATGTGGCTTTGGCTTTGGCTCCGCGCACACTCGTTTTAAGAGACTACAGCAGTTCCAAGGACCATCATGCTTAGCTTTCTGAAATAGGTTTTCGGAGCGATGAAGGGTTGTCAGGGCGCATCAGTTACATTACTTCGCTGTGTTGACGTCACAAGAATAATGTCCTGGCACGATTCAGGATCGTCGAGGCGCAACCGTAAGGTTGATTCGTGGCGGTGAAGTCCCATGAACCGTGCTGTGTCACGGTTGAGGACCTTCAAACGGTTATCTTCCAACAGGGCATTTCCTTCAGTGGAAACGAGTTCCTGCAGAATCATACGAAGCGGTTGGAGGGAGGCCTGATTGCAACATCGTTGACGAGTCTGGGGCTTACAGTGGTCCTCCTCCTCCTCCTCCTCCTTCTCCTCCTCCTACTACTACTTCTCCTCCTCCTTCTCCCCCTCGTGCGCCTGCTTCTCCTCCTCCTCCTTCTCCCCCTCCCCGTCGCTGCGCACCAGCACGCGAGCATCACTGCTGCACCAGGGCTGCCGTTTCTGCGCGCCCGCCGGCCCAGCCGGTGCACCGCCCGCGCCCCACCCAGGAGCCAGCGTTCCGCAGGGAGGCCCGCCTTCCGGTTGGCAGCGCCTCCCGCGAGAAGTCCTTCCTCCGCACGTGCATGGACCGACAGCGCCGTTCTGAGGGGCAACGAGAGGGTTAAGTCGAACCTGTCCCTCTACAGGGGGAATATTCAAAAATAGTCTGGGGACTATTTTTTGAATATTTTTTGCCATTTTGGAGCATTTTTATGGTATGTTTTATTTTGTGTCGAAAATCCCCCTGTAGGGGGACACGCCCGGCTTAACGACAGGGGGATGCGGTAGGTTCGTGCGGCGTTGGCGCGCCGGCGACGCTGGCGAAGGCGTTCAAGGTTGAATTCTGCGACGCGGAAACACCGATGGACACGGCGACGCTGCAGGCCCCGACGGAGTTCGACCTGGAACGATCGGGGCCGCGATCAATTCAAGGTTGAACGATCGTCGCGGTGTCAAAAACTTGTGCGCGCCGCCAGCGCCGCACGAACCTACCATAGATTCAGCGGGGAATGCATCGATCCCCGATCGCCGATCCATCGCTGATAGGGGCCTGAAAGCCCACCCTGCCCAGGAACGCACGTTCTCGTTACGCATCGGGGGACTATCACCGATCTGTCGGCGATGTATCGCCGATGTTGGCTCGATGTTCCCCCCCGGAGCTTGTCCCAGCCCATCCTTCGCCCTGACTTTCTCTTGTCAGGCCGATCAGCAGTACCGAAAGTGCGGGGGGGCTCGTGAGGGAGAGCAGGGTGTCTAAGCACGGCGGGCAGCAGTGCCCGCATTCGAGTGTGATTGTTTGCTGCGAGGGCCTTACGGACGGTGCCACCTGCCCTGGACGTGGACGACGAAGACGGCCAAGCGGACGCAATCATGCCAGAATGACGATCGTTTCTGTTGTACGCATCGTTCGATTTGACACGATGTGTGGCCCCTTCGTTGTGCCATTAGTCATTGAGCATGTTGCAGTCGAATCTCGCACCGATTCGCATGGTCACGAATACGTGTGTTTGGTGTTCTGCCATGCTGACGCCTCAACCAGCAGGCTCCAATCCAGCGTTGTTAACATTTTTCTTTTCCTCTCCCCAGACATCCGGCTGCTTGAACTTCGTTCGATGCGTGGGCCCTGGAGGTCTGGACCACTTCCCTATAGGGCCGGGTTTTTCGTCCCGGGTCGTTCTGTGGCGCTCCCGAGGCCCAGTGAGGGCCCCCAGAGGCGCACAACGACCAAACAGCCGCCGCTCCAATTTTTTTGTTGCTTGTTGGAGCGTCGGGTCTCTGGATCGTCCACGTCGTGCGGTCGGCATGTTTCCCCTCCGGCAGGACTCGCTGAGCAGCTGCGGCTGCTCCGACACCGACAGGAGGGAGGTGCAGCCTCGCCCGCCGGAGCTCCAGCGCGGAGGACGCGGGTGTGACGAAGGCCGCAGGGTGTCTGGGCAGCTCCAGGGGCGCGACGAGGGAAGGGAGGAAGAGGAGGAGGAGGAGGAGGAGGAGGAGGAGGAAAAAAGGAGGAGGAGGAGGAGATGACGAGACGGAGGAGGAGGTTGGGAGCCGTGCTCGGAGGAGGAGGATCGGGGGTGGGCAGACCTCCTACCCTGACACGTCGATTAGCGAATCGGCCGTGTTCGGTTCGCGAGGGGGCGTCGCGGCGGTCAGTTTTTGCGGGTCCAGGCCCGTCGGTTTCGGTCCCAGGCCGTTTTCACTAAAGGGAGGTTTGCTAAAGGGAGGTTTGTCCACCGCCGGGAGAAGCGAAGACGAGGGATGAAGAAATCGGGGGCGGCAAAGAGGGGGGTGATGACTAGGGGGGGGTGGATATCATGGCGGGGGCCATGGTATTTCCCAGATTTCATGGCGCCCCTTCTCATTTCATGAGGTCCCTGGCCCCCCCCCGCTGGGCCGCGCACATGCCGCCGGTCATGACTTGCACCCCCCCGCTCTTGGACACCCCCCTCTTGGCCGCTCCCGAATGAAGAAAGGGAGGTTGGGAGTCGTGCTCGGAGGAGGAGAAGCGAGGACGAAAAAACGCCATGGACATAAACGTTTGGCGCTCCGCGCGGATTTCTTGGATCTGCGCTGGGCCCCCCCCGCCCAAAACATGTGTTCGTGCCGCTTGTTTTTTGTTCCAGAGCAGATGCCCATATCGCTACCCTTGCTTCGTTGTCCCCTTGCGAGGCCTCCTGGGAAGCCCTCGTTGCCACCGCTGGATTCGCCTCGACATCCTGGTCAGAACGCACCCAGGGAGAGGTCCGGGGAGTAGCGGGGTACCTTATGGTTTCCCCATCGAAGGCGTGATGGAGAAAGGGGGGATGGAAATCATGTGTTCTCTTATATGGGGAGGGAGATACAAGAGCCATTTCTCTCCATCAGAGGAACGCTTCCTTGCGCAGCAGATTTCATGAGATTTCCAGGGAGGTGGTTCGCAGGTTCTGTTTGCCGAAGTCCCCCGTCGTAGTTCAAAATGTTGGTTGGGAGTCTCAATCATTGAAGTGATGGCGAGAACAGTTATGCAAAGATGGCAGATGGAGAGTGTTGTCGGCGAGGCCCAGCAGCCGTTATATCGTGATTACGTGAGGGAGGGTACGTCCACAGAGAAGGCTGCAACAAGCAGGCAAGATGGGCGGGGACGAACGGAGGCGGGCGGACGCGGTGGCCGACTCACAGCATAGGAGTCGAGATCATATGCGTTGCCAGTCTTGATCTCCAGTTCGCTTTTGCCCGAGGAGTAGCGACTTCTCATATCTGAAAGAGCGTGTTCTACCGCTGCTGGCGGAAAACCGGGGGGGGTCACTACCGGTTTGAACCCCTCCCCCCCCCCCCCCCTCGGGAAAATCGGGGGGGGGGTCACTACCGGTTCGAACCCCTCCCCCCCCCCCCAGTTCATCATGAAAAGGCGGGGGGTCACTACCGGTTCGAACCCCCCCCCCCCTCCCCCCCTCGAAAACCGGGGGGGGTCACTACCGGTTCGAACCCCCCCCTCCCTCGAAAACCGACTGGGGGCGCGGACAGTGGTGGGGACGGTGTTGGTGGGGACAGTGGTGAGGGGACAGCGGGACAGTGGTGGGGACAGTGGGACAGTGGTGGGGACGGTAGTGGTGGGGACAGTGGTGGTGACAATGGTGGGAACAGGGGGAGCAGTGGACAGTGGTGGGGACGGTGGTGGTGGGGACAGTGGTGTGGGGACAGTGGGAATGAGGTGGAAACAGTGGGACAGTGGAGGGTACACTGGTGGTGGGGACAGTGGTGAAGGCGGTGGCGAGGACGGCGGTGGGAAAATGGGACAGAGGTACAGTGGGGACAGTGGTGGGGACAGTGGGGACAGTGGTGGGAACAGTGGGACAGCTGAGTGCGACAGCGGAGGAGTCAGTGGGACAGTGGGGACAGTGGGGATAGTCGGGCAGTGGTTGGGGCCGTGGAGACAGTGGGGAGAGTGGAATCGTGGTGGGAACAGTGGTGGGGACAGTGGGGACAGTGCGACAGTGGTGGGGGCACTGGTGGGGACAGTAGGGACGGTGGTGGAACCAGTGGGGACAGTGGTGGTGAGGACAGTGGTGCTGGGAACAACAGTGGGGGATGTGATGCGGACGGTGGTAGGGACCGGGAGTCGTTTGCTGGCGGTGAGTGGGGCGTGGGGAGGGGTTCGAACCGGAGTGATCCCCCCCGGGAGGGGGGGGGGGTTCGAACCGGTAGTGACCCCCCTCGGTTTTCCGGATCCGGAGGGGGGGGGGGTGGGAGGGGTTCGAACCGGTAGTGACCCCCCCGGGTTTTCGAGCGGGAGGTGGGGGGGGGGGAGGGGTTAGGGGAGGGGGGGGTTTTGCCGGGGGGCCTCTTGGAGCCTCCTGGGGGCCTCGCGGGGCGCAACGCTCGGATTTTCGGTTCGTGTTCCCTCTCTTGGGCAACTTGTGGGGCCGTCTTGGGGCCTTTTGGGCTGTCTTGGGCGCCTCCTGGGCCGTCTTCGGGCGCTCCAGGGAAGTCTTGGGGCCTTCTTGGAGGCATCTCGGGCAGTCCTGGTGTAGCATTGGGGACCTCAGGCCGTCTGGGAGCGTCGGGACAGAAACAGGCGTGAGCGCCAAATCTCCTCAAACAACGAAGGCACAGTAATCATTTGTCCCCGTCAAGGTGCTCTTGGGAGGCATCTTCGAGGCCTCCTGGGGCATCTTCGAGTCCTTCTGGGCCATCATGACGCCATGGAGGGCGTCTTGGGGCGATCTTTGAGCGTCCTGGGGCAGTCTGGGGCCTTTTGAGGGCTGTTGGCCCGTCTTGGGGCCCTCATCGCTCCGAAACCGTCACGCGAGAAACCGCGAGAATCCCCAGGAGAAGATTTTGCGATGCGGGGTTTGGGTCTCTCAACGATTCTTCAGGAATGAGGATTGAGGTTGAGAGGATGATGGCAAGGACCTGAGGGCACGCCCACTCCGTGCCCAGAGGCACGGTGGCGGCTTGACATAACCAGGGTAATCCGATGATCATGGTTCTGACGGATCGCATCGCATTTCCACGCCCCAATGGGGGAGCCGTCTGAGGGTATTTCCATTTGTTCTTGGGTTGAACCGTAGGGGGTGGCAGCGACTCGGGTTAGCGGTCGGTGGATTGGGCGAGGTGGCAAATACTATCCAGGAACAGCGATGACCCCATCCCCGAAGGGGACAAATGGCGTCGGACAAGGAATCGCGATTGACCATGTCCTGCCCACGAGGCGGGGGGGGGGCTTTCGCTAGGACGCCCCATGCGAGAACTGGTCCTGGTTGGTTCAAGCGAAGCCATCATCGTCATTTTTGGCCTTGAGATGCCGCCTGTGAGGTCTTCCGGTTGGTCTTGCCTGAGACATCCCTGCAATGGTGGGATTCGTGATGCCGCGCGAGAGATAGTCCAGCCCATTTTTCGCTTAGTCATCCTCACCGCTGTCCTGAGGCGGTACAGCCCTTTGTGCTTGAAACATCCTCGCAGTTGTGGGCTTCGAGGCACACGAGAAATCTATCCAGCTTCCCCCCACGCACTCTCGCAACTCAGGACCAATGGAGGCCCTGCCTGAGCTGGTCTAGCAAGTTTCGCTTCACACTTCGTCACAACTCTGGGCTCGAATATGATCTGGCGTGAGGTCGTCCAGCCATATTCGCCTGATGCGTCCTCGTTATTATGGGTTACTCGATGCCATGTCCTCACGGTTTCCGATTCCGTTGCCTCGTTGTTCTGGGTTCGCAGTCGCCGTGGTCAGTTCGTTTCGTTTGAGATGTGCTTGCGACTCCGGGTCCATGTACTTCTGTCCTCACCTGCCGTGGTCCCGATTTTTTGCATGAGACATCGTCGGCAATGTGTTTTTGGGGATGCCCACACGTGAGATGGTTCAACCATTTTGCCCGAGATCGCCCCTTTGTGGGCTCAGACATGTCCTGTCCATGCTGTCCATGCTCGGTTTCGGGCGAGAAATTGTGTGGTGGGGGGCCTCAAGAACAGGTTCCGTGGGGTGGGGATGCCGGGGCGGTTTTGGGCGAGACATTGCGTGGCGGGGGGCCCCAAGACAGAGGTGCCAGCGCGTGGAGGGGGGCATCGGTCGGTTTTGGGCGAGAAATTGTATGGTTGTGGGTCCCAAAAAGAGAGGTTCCGTGAGGTGGCGATGCCGGGGCGAGGAGGGGGATATCGGCTGGTTTGGGGCGAGAAATTGCTTGGTGGGGGGCCCCAAGAACAGAGGTTCCGTGGGGATGCCAGGGCGAGGAAGGGGGTATTTGTACGTTTTGGGCGAGAAATTGTTTGGTGGGGGCCCCAAGAACAGAGGTTCCTTGGGGTGGGGATGCCGGGGCGTGGAGGGGGTATCGGTCGGTTTTAGGGAAGAATTGGTGTGGTGGGGGGTCCCAAGAACAGACTTTTGTCGCCACCGTTGGACGCAGCTCGAGAAATTTTATTGCTTGGATCCTGGGAGGGATCCGGGTCTGGGGACCGATTTTGAGCAGCCGTTGTCTCAACTCGCCTTGCTCCGATTGTGGGTGAGCCTCTCCCTCTCCTCCCCTCAACGGCGTGCCAGGTGTGAGTTACGGGAACTCTGTTGACAGCAAGTGGCACGGGCCGCCGCGATTCGGTACAGCACAGGCGCACAAAGCCGTGCCCCAGCCCAGCAGACTCGCGCCGCATCCCCTAAGGTCGTTGGGTGCGTTCCTCGAGCCATACCGTTTCCATTGTGAAAATCGACCTAGCAGACCATCACACAATCAGCCCACTCAGGGCGTGAAGGAAGCAAGAGGAGGGGGAATCTGACGCTTGGGGGCAGACAGTGGGCGACGTTTCAAGGGTCGGGAGTAATTACATGTGTCGGTTGGTGGCACGTGCCGTGGGGCGTCGAGGAGGTGGTGGGTATGCGATCCAGGAGGCACAGGGCCCTGTTGCAACTGACGAAAACGTCGGGCGTGTGAATGTGTGTATGTATGTACATATATGTGTGTATACACACATATTGTTGATTCCCGTATGCCTTCCAGGAGCAGCAGCGCGCAACGCGTCGCCGCACGCGAGGGAGAAGCCCATGGAGATTGCCCGGTGATTCGTGGTTGTTGCCTCCTTTTCTGATCCACTGCTCCATAATAGACGGATCAGACGCTTCCATTGTCCACGACTCTTGCGCATGGCATGTCTTGAACCTTTGGGGTGCAGCTGACAAACCCAGACCCCTGAAGTCTTGATTTTTTCACATCGTCGACCCCCCGAGGTCTGGACCCTTCCCCGGGACCAGTTTGGCATCCTGAGTCGTTTTTTAACGGTCCCGAGGCCCCGTAAGGGCCCCCGCAGGCCGAGTCTAGTGAAAAAACCTCTCGTTGTGATTTGTGTCGCAGCGCGAGGAGGTCTGGGAGCGGAGGACAAGAGGGCGAGGGCGAGGAGAACGAGCAGGAACGGCAGGGCGAGCGTTCGCAGGACGGCATCGTGACACTCGTGGTGTGATCTGGCCACCTCCTCCTCTCCCTCCCTTCCTCCCTCCCTCCCTCCCTCCCTCCCTCCTCCTCTTCCTCCTCCTCCTCCTCCTCCTGCTCCTCTTCCTCCTCCTCCTCCTCCTCCTCCACCACAATTACTCAATGTGAATATACTCTCCCTCTTCCAATGATGGCGTCCAGGTGATGGCCGCGCACCCTCCGCGTACTGTTTTTTTACACACAGGATGCCCGGGAAATCCCGGGAAACGACTCTCGCTGAGGCGCCGGCGTCATTTTTTCCCAAAATGCTGCTCTCGCGCCGGCGTCATTTTTTCCTAAAATGCTGCTCTCGTTGAGGCGCCGGCCTCATTTCTGCTCCCGAATCCTTCCCCTGATGGCGTCCGGGTGATGGCCGCGCACCCTCCGCGTACTGTTTTTTTACACACAGGATGCCCGGGAAATCCCGGGAAACGACTCTCGCTGAGGCGCCGGCGTCATTTTTTCCCAAAATGCTGCTCTCGTTGAGGCGCCGGCCTCATTTCTGCTCCCGAATCGTTCCGAATCGTGCTCCCGCTGCAGCGTGGGCCTCATTTTCGGATCGGTGTTTGGCCTCCGTCGTTCAGGATGGCGTTCTCGCCCCAGCGCGGGCCTTTTTCTCGCGCGCCCATCCGCCCGCCACCACCGCGCCGCACCGCCACCACCACCACCACCACCACCACCACCACCACCACCACCACCACCACCACCACCACCACCACCACCACCACCACCACCACCACCACCACCACCACCACCACCACCACCACCACCACAACCACACCAGCACCAGCACCAGTACCAACACCACCACCACCAGCACCACCACCACCACCAGCACCACCACCACCAGCACCACCACCACCACCACCACCACCACCACCACCACCACCACCACCACCACCACCACCACCACCACCACCACCACGACAACCACGCACACACGCACGCACGCACGCACGTGCACCACCACCCACTACGCACGCGCGCGCGGAGCCACAGGTCCGCTACGACACGCGTCCGCGGATAGAGAAAATCAGCGCCATGGTAAGGGATGGGAGGGAGGGGTAGGACGTCAGATATGACGCGAGCGCACCTAGCTTGTCCTCCTCCCCCTCCCTCCCTCCCCCTTCCGTCCCTCCGTTCCTTCCTCCGTCCCTTCCTCCGTCCCTCCTCCCTCTGTTCCTTCCTCCGTCCTCTCCCTCCCTTCCTCCCTCCGTCCCTCCCTCCCTCCCTCCCTCCTCCTCCTCCTCCTCCTCCTCCTCCTTCTCCTCCTCCTCTCCTCCTCCTCCTCCTCCTCCTCCTCCTCCTCCTCCTCCTCCTCCCTCCTCGTCCTCCTTCTCCTCCTCCTCCTCCTCCTCCTCCTCCTCCTCCTCCTCCTCCTCGGTTACCGGATCATCAGTCACACAAGCATTCGACGCGTGGGTTCACATACAGGCATACATAGTCTTAGCAAGCTTGTTTGTGGGGATATGAGAATGGGTGAGCCTGAGTGGGGGATGGGACTCAATATGGTCGGTTGAGCACGGCGGAATCTGCGTGGGTGGGTCTGGATGTGAGCCGGCCCGAGATGGTCGACATATGCATGAGTCTAGTTATGAGTGGATCTGGGTATGAGTGGATGTGGATTCGAGTGAGTCGCAGTTCGAAGAAGTCCCAGTCTGGTTGAGCCCGCATGAACGAGTGAGTACGAGCGAGACTTCTCGGTGCGGTGCTGTTCCAGGACGTTGCGCTCGGAGCACTGCTCGCGCCCCTCGTGGAAGTCAGCCGTGGTGGAGACCGTCATCGTGGTGTTTGTCTCTGGCGTGTGGTTCCAATGCGTGCCTCAGGCAAGGTAGCCATCGTAGCGGCAGTGGACGCGGTAATGACCAGGGCAGTAAGGCGAAATTCAGTGGATGTCAGAGTCGTGGGCGTGGTTGGCCGTCGTGTTGATCGACGTCTGGTTGCTGGAACCCGTCGTGCTGCTCAGCGTCGCACTGTTGCAAACCGTCGTGCAGTTAAGTGTCGGCATGCGGGCATCTGGCGCGAAGGATGCCCTCCTACAACTGCCCCGTAACCGCGTCTTAGATTTCCAAGCCTCCAAGGATTTCGCCCAGATTAGCTTCATCGACCTCTGTCCTGGCAGGGGTGCTGAGACCGCCGATGCCATCCTTGGTGGAAGCTGTTGCTGAGGGGGGACTTGGAGCGGAAGTTGACGTTGGTCTGGGCATAGTTGGCTTGAGTGATTCCCAGATCTCTGGGTATTCGGATGCCAACGCGGACCGTCTCGCAGAGGCCTGAGCCGAGTCCAACATGTTTTTGAACGCAGGCAGCTGCGAATATAAGTGGGAAGCGCTTGGAGGCCGCCATGCCGAAAGACGGGCTGCAGCTGCGACATGGCCTTCCTCGATGGCCGCCCGCTCAGGCGTGGTGGCCTCAGCCAGCTCATCTCGATGCTTCGCAAGTTCCTCCAACTGCTGACAACCTTCCGCATGCTCTGATTACATCCTCTCGATGCGCGTTGTCCTCCTGGCCTCCCCTTGCTCCGCTCGAAGTACGATACTACTGAGGGGAGCAGCGGCTTCCTGTCGAGCTTTAGCCTCTTCCCAAGCCCTGCGGATGAATTCTTTGGCAGAGTCGGGGACGGAGTCCTCAAATTCGACTCCAGAGACTACTTGGTTTATCTTGTGAAGCTCCTCCAGGGCCTCCGAAGCCTTCATGGGTTCGTCCTCTTTGGGCGCCTGGGGGCCCCACACGACGAGCACCACCTCTAGATCCACCTCCTCCGTAGCCACCCCTCCCTTTTCCAGCTTCGCCTCCTCCAAGTTCTCCATTGCGCTCAGCGCCTCCTCCGCCTCCCGAGCACGGTCCGACCGAGGTATAAGATCGAGGTTGGTTCGGGGAGGGTGCCCTCGTGTTCTTCGTGCCTGTTGGATGTTTTTGTGCACCCTGGGGAGGGTCCCCTTGGATGCTCTGTTTTTTTGGCCGGCGGAGAGTCTCATGTTATTGAAGGATGTTATTCCGTCCTAGGTCCGATCGTACGTTCAGGGTCCACCGGGTCAAGACCGAGAAGAGGGAGAAGCGGAAGCCGACACAACGAGAGATGGACGAGCAGCAGAGATTTCTGAGGACTTCTCTTGCTCATCCCTCTCCTCCTGACACCCCTTCTCCCGGTTAACTACTCCCCCTCCGCCACCTCCTCTTCCTCCTCTCCTCCTCCTCCTCCTCCTCCTCTTCCTCCTCCTCGTCTTCCTCCTCCTCGTCTTCCTCATCCCTCCTCCTCCCCCTCCTCGCCCTGTCAACATAAGCCGTTTCTGAGGTACCGACGTGCCAGATCACTTCGTTCACGATTGCGATGCTGCATTGGCACTTGCGTGGTTACTCTTCTGTCCCAGCCGCGCCTCCGTTCCTGGCCAGGGAGTTCGAGCGCGCGGAACCAAGTTCGTCGTCTGCCGAACTCTGAATTTGCCGTCTCGGCGTTCACCTGTGGTGTTCAAAAACGCACGATGCACGTCGCCAGGAGCGGTCTGGCATCGGCGCTGGTGCGCTCGTGGTGGTGCAGGAGGAGTTTGACGGCGAGGGGCACGACGCGCTCAGGTTCAAGAGAGGGCAGCAGGAATGCTTCTTTTGCCAGCAAGTGCACTGCGAGAGGCATCTGCTTTCGCAGCTCCGCGCGGATTTCTTGGATCTCCGCCGGGGCCCCTTGGCGGCGCCTTCGGCGCCGCCCACGGCGCGTTCCGCGCGCCGGAGAGGGGGATCCAGCGCAGATCCGAGAAATCCGCGCAGACCGTCGAAAGTTTATTTGAATGCCGTCTTTTGTTCCTCTGTAGAGTTCACGCGACAATGCATGGCGACATAGCCTAACACATCTAAGCCGTTTGGCAGCAACCATGGAGATGTGTGCGGGGGGAGGGGAACTCCGCGGAAACCCCTGGGTGCGCAACAAATTGGCGACAGTGTGAAACCTGGCGTTGCCAAGCGGGGCGAAGTCTTCATTGGAAGCGCGGGGGACGCCATTCGGCTGGAACCCCCAGGCGGCGCAGAAAGGTGTCGGTCGTGCGATTGCTGGCAGCATCCTGTAGAGCGATGTCGCGTTTTGGATCGGCGTGGGACCGCACTCTGCTGGACCCCATGGGTGCTCAAAGAGTTGCGACAGTGATGCGCTTGGCATTGCCCAGCGGAGCAAAGTCTGGTTGGATCTGCGGGATCAGCCACTCGGCTGGAACCCCCAGGCGGCGCAGGAGGGTGGCGGCAGCTGTACGTTTGTCGCCCTTGGGTCGGCGTAAGACCGCGCCCAGCTGGGCCCCCCTCGGGCGCAAGAAAGCGGCGGGCACTATACGGTTGGCGACGCTTTTCGGAGCGATGTCGCGTTGTGGACAAGCGCGACACCGCGCTATGCTGGACTCCCACGTGCGCCGGCAAGGGCCGACAGCTGCATGCTCGGCAGCATCCCTGGGGAGCGGGGCTTCGCTGGGGCCGTCGTCGGCCACCTCCGCGCTGGTCCCCGCGGGAGCGCAGGCACGTGGCGGCAGCTGCACGTCGAAGGCCGCAGATTCGGCTGACTGGAGGTCGGGTGGCCGACCCCTGAAGCCCCACATCCAAAGCGGCTGACGTCCCGCTCTTGAGGAGAAGGAGGAGGAGGAGGAGGAGGAGGAGAAGGAGGAGGAGGGGGAGGAGCAGGAGGAGGAGGAGGAGGAGGGGGAGGAGGAGGAGGAGGAGGAGGAAGAGGAGAACCAGTGTAAATCCAAGCGTCATCAAAGATGTTGGAGTAAACCCTCACTCCAAGCTGCCTCTTCATAGGCCCCTACAACGGTTCATACCCATTGAAGGAACTGCCTCTTTGGTACACATCCGTCTGAAGACCTTGAAGCATGCCAAAACATTGTTCTCAGGATTCCAACGCCACGGATCAACCTGACTGTTGCGTCTTGACGGTCCTGAATCGTGCCAGAACGCCATTCCGAGCATCTCAACACAGAGAATCAACCGAACTTTTGCACCCGCATAATCCTGACTCCTTCCAAAACGCAATTTCTGGTACGCTTATGATGGGAACCCTTGAAACTCTTTAAAAGTTTGTATGCAATTCGCGCAGCGCTAAGGCGAGAGCCACATATTGAAAAGGAACCGCCCTCCATCCGTGAAACTCTTGCAATGTTCTAAAACGAATGTGCGCCGCGCTAAGGCGCGAGCCACAGTTTGAAAACCACTCGCCCTCTATCCATGAAGCTCTTGCAATTGTTAGACGCTTCGCGTATCCCCACTGGGCCTGATTAGTCTCTGCGTAGCCCACTTTGACCTGACTCGCCGCCGGCGCGCTCGCCCGCGGCCGCTGACTAAAAACTATCCCCATCGGTGAGGCTGCGCCCCGTTGTTTTAGATTAATTTGTCGTTGCGTGCCCCGCTTTGACAGGACTCGCCGATGGCGCGCTCGCCTGCGGCCGCTGATTAAAAAGTATCCCCACCGGCTCCTCTGAGCGGCGCTGCGTTCGTCCCCTGTTTCTCCCTCCCTTCGTCGTCCTCGTCTGCTTTCTCGCCGCCCGTGCGCCGCTTGCGCTTGGTCTCGGCCCCGTCAATTTTCCGCGTTCGCCTGCTGTTGTGTGACTCCCCCGCGCCTGTAGGCTTGTCTCACGTTTGACTCTTGACGCCGCGCGGCTGCCCGCTTGCGGTTGCGAGCAAAAAAGTACCCCCGCCGGCCCACCCAGAAACGATGTCCAGGCGAGTTGAGGTGATCAGGGAAGTGCGGGAGCAAAGAGGGGGAATGCCGAATTGTGAGAAGGAGGGAGGAGGAGAAGGAATAGGCTGGATGCAGGAGGAGGAGAAGGAGGAGATGGAGGAGAAGGAGAAGGAAAAGGAGAATAAGGAGGAGGAGGAGGAGGAGGAGGAGGAAGAGGAGAAGGAGGAGGAGGAGGAACAAAAAAGAGTAGAAGGAGGCAGGAGGCGCAGGAGGAAGAGGGCAAGCAAAAGGGCCAGAGGTTTCTTGGATGCCTTTAGGAGCCTCTTGTGGTATCTCCTGGGCGTTTCTTAGTGGCCGCGTGGGACGTCTTGAGGGTCTTCTGGCGGTCCTGGGGGGCGTCTTGGGTGCCTCGGGGGGGGGGGCCGATTGGGGCCTTCTTGGGGCCTATTGGGGCCATATTGGGACCTTTTGGGGCCTCCTGGGCGCCTCTTAGGCCTATCTTGGAGAACATCCATCAAACAAGGGGGGGTCCTTAATTAGCGTCCCCCCTCGGGGCCCCCCCCAAGTCGCCTCTTGGAGCGTTCTTGAGGCGTTTTGGGGGCGCTCTTGGGCGCTCTTGGGGCCGTCTTGGGGCTCTCGTGGGCCCCTCTTGGGGCTTTCTTGGGCCACCTTAGAGCTTTCTGGAGGCCTCGAATGGCACTCGGAAGCGAAGAGTAGAGAAAGCCCACAACAATGATTTCCCAATGGTTTTTGATTGATTGTGGCTTCTTGGTTGCATTATTGGGGAGCTCTTTTGGTCACTTGGGGGCCATCCTGGCGCGGTCTTTGGGCCTCTTGGAGCGTCTTGAAAGCCATGTTGTGGCATCTTGCGCTATATTGAGCCATCTTGGACGCCATCGTAGGCTCCCGGAGGCCCTCTTGGAGCCGCCTTGGCGCGAACAAATACCCCCTGACACCTCGCGCCCCCCCCGTCCAAGTCCAGAGGAGGGGGTCGGGGGAGGGGTCAAGACGCCCTCCCCGCCCGCAAGCCGTCTCGCTAACTCCCACCCGCCCTCCCAACACGCACGTAGCACCCGAGCCTGGCCCGAGCCGCAGCATATGCAGCAGTCGTCTGAGGATGGGCAGCTACTGGGGGCGAATCCACCGCCGCCGCCGCCGCCGCCCGCCCGCCGCCCCCGCCGCCCCGCCGCCGCCGCCGCCGTCCGCCGCCGTCGCCGCCGCCGCCGCCGCCGCCGCCGCCGCGCCGCCCCGCCCGCCGCCCCCGCCGCCGCGCCGCGCCGCTGCCGCCACAGCCGGTGCCGCCACCGCTGCCGCCGCCGCCGCCGCCGCCACCGCCGACGCCCGCCGCCGCCGCCGCCGCCGCCCCTCGCCGCCGCCGCCGCCCACCGCCGCCGCCACCGCGGCAGCCGCCGCAGACGCTGCCCCCGCCGCAGCCGCCGCCGCCGCCGCCGCCGCCAAGTGTACTCTGTATTGTTTTTTGACAGGGATGGTGGGTGGAGGCCTCATCGGGTTGGCTGCGCATGTTCCGAATTCGGAGGCAGAGTATGTTTTGCATTTTTTTACAATGGATGGTGGGGGCGTGCCCGCATTGACCCTGGTTGGCTCCCAGTCGCCTGGGGGAGGGGGTGTATACTAATAGGGAACAATGATCAAGACTCACCCCCCGCCCGCAAGCCGTTTCGCTCACTCCCACCCGCCCCCCCAACACATACGTAGCACCCGAGCCTGGCCCGAGCCGCAGTATATTCAGCAGTTTTCTTTGGATGGGCAGCTACAAGGGGCCAGTCCGCCGCCGCCGCCTCCGCCGCCGCCGCCCCCGCTGCCGAATCGCCGCAGCCGCTGCCGCCACAGCCGCTGCCGCCACCGCTGCCGCCGCCGCCGCCGCCACCGCCGCCGCCGCCGCCACCGCCGCCGCCCCCGCCGTCGCCGCCGCCACCGCCGCCGCTACTGCCGCAGCCGCCGCAGCCGCTGCCCCCGCCGCAGCCGCCGCCGCCGCCAAGTGTATTTGGTATTGTGTTTTGACAGGGATGGTGGGGGGAGGCCGCATCGGGTTGGCTGCGCATGCTCCGAATTTGGAGGCAGAGTGTGTTTTGTATTATTTTGTTGCAAGGGATGGTGGGGGGGCCCGCATTGGCTCGGGTTGGCTCCAAGTCGCCAGGGGGAGGGGGTGTATACTAATAGGGAACAGTGGTAAACCCTTCCCCGACGGAGAAGAAGGGAGGTGGACGAGGAAACGTTCTAGACCACCTACGCCCAGAGAGCTGGTGGGATTGTCAAATGCATGTGCGCCGCGCTATGGCGAGAGACACGTTCTGAAAATGAGCCGCCCCCAATCCGTCAAATTCTTGCAAATGTTTGAAACGAATGTGCGCGGCGCTAAGGCGAGAGCCACATCTTAAAAACAACCCGCCCTCAATATGTGAAACTCTTGTAAATTGAAAAATGTGCGCCCGAGAGCCAAACTTTGAAAACGGCCCGCCTTCCATGTGTGAAACTGCTGCTATGTTTTAGCTTCAGAGTCATAAGTGGTGAGGAAGTCTCAGGCGAAACGCCCGGCCCGCCCTAATAACTGGCCTCGGTGTGCGACAGGGACAAGTTGTTTAGAAGGAAAATGAATGGAGGAGGACGAGGAGGAGGAGGAGGAGGAGGAGGAGGAGGAGGAGGAGAAGGAGGAGGAGGAGAAGGAGGAGGAGGAGGAGGAGGAGGAGGAGGGGGAGGAGGAGGAGGAGGGGGAGGAGGAGGAGGAGGAGGAGGAGGAGGGAGGAGCGTGGCGGAGCGAGGTCGCGCACAGGCCCGCGTAAAACGCCACCCCGCGGGACCCGCCGCCCCCCCCCCCGGGGCGCATATGAGGCTGTCGAGTGACAGCCCCCGGAGGCCGAGGTGGCGGCGGGGTCGGCACTGGAGGGTTTCTCCGAAGGGCTTAGGCAACCCGTCCTCCT